ATATTTGTCTATGGAGATTGCATGGCTGTGTGCTCGATTCTATACACCTGTCAGCAACAGGTGTGGCTGAAATAGGCGAATCCACTAATTTGAAGGGGTGTCCACATACTTTTGTATATATAGTATATAACTAATACTGTGCCAGCTAAGATTAAATTTGGCTAAAACGTTTAAATGTCACTATTTCGACCTATTTTACCCATGTTGAAGGTAAACTACAGGACCAATAATCTAACCATGGCCATAATATTATATGGTTGTCCATAAGTAGCTAATGTTATGAGGTGTTTGACATTGAATCACAACTGTGGTGCCTTTGGATGTCCAAAACACAAAATGAAGCCCAAAATACAAAATGAAGCCCAACACACAAAATGAAGCCCAGAAAATGCATCCAGCATAGCCATGCAATCTTAAACCTAACAAAACAACAGCATAATAAACATGGTTGCCTACTGTTTTCCCAAGGATAGGCCCTTTCATTGTGGTCTTACCCTGCTGAAAGAGACCACACTCATAAAGGAGAAGAATTGCTCTTTGTCTTATGTCTGGAATGGGGCTAGAACATTATAGCTGCTTCCCCCGTATTGACACAGCTGTTGCCCAAACTATAGACTTGCCATGGCTTCATATTGTGCCACACACCCACTAATGACAGCTTTAGCGGTGGAGGGTAATTCAGGAGAGAGGGTTGACTACGGGGTGAGGTGTGTGACTCACGTCCTGGGTTCCCCAAGGCCAGATGTCCTGCCTGCCAGGTTTCCTGCACCAGTGCATTGTGGATAGGTAAAAGATGGTATGGTATCACTGCTAAGTCCGGACACTGAAATGGCTCCTGTTCTTTTAAGACCACGGATCTCAGAAGACAGACTTAGTGTAGCAGATATGGTTCGCTGAACTGTGCTTGTGTGATGAGTAATAGTGTCTGGCCGAGACCCGATGACTTGTGTTAGCTCTTAGAGGCTTTTGCTCGGTGGGCTAATACTATCTATTGTGTCATTCAACCAGCCAGGTTCAATACTAGGTCTGTTACACAAACCAGAATAGGAATGGAATAAACAACTATAATTGAGCGGTTATTCAACGCATACCTAAGTAATTGTTGTCATGACATATTACCAAAGGTATTTACTCATACCTCCTCCACCACATATGTGTAAAATGTCTGCTCTGAGACATTACTCAGAGTTGAAGAAGCACTCCCAAACATTATTGATACGACCCCAATAACCCAGTTTATGTTTAGAACCTGCCAGTTAACATGGTGCTTTGTAAGGAGATAGATAGGTGATAGATATGCAGACACTTCAAAGATCAACAACAAAGGCTCTCCCATTCTCACCATGCTGTGCTAACAGATGAGACAGTGATCCTGCTCTGTTGGGGCTGTGCTCCCTTGTAAAAGCCTTGTCCTTCACATCAGCCAGTTAATTAATGTTTACTGGGACAGTTTAGGGAATGAACCTCACTTAACCTTTACCTCTGTGACCTGTGTGTTTTTTTTTGTTGCTCTGTCTGACTGTCACCAACACGACCTCCCAGTTACAACAATCAATTCACATTTTCAGATTGTTCTGTGTTAACAACTTTAATGCAAATTTAGACAATGGTGTGAGTGGTTTTGTCAACACAAAACCATGGATTATTAATCACCTAGTATCCCTATCTTTCATATTTTTAAGGTAAATAAATATTACAATATAGTCTAACAATATCCTACCTCTCTGTGCTATAATCTGACTGTTCTCTCCATCCCTATTACCTCATAGCTTTCCAGACAGTTTTGTGCCTTAGTACAATACAGAGTGAATGTACTACTGGCACGAAGCACTAATGCTGTAGCTAAATCCTTTTTCGCCTCTGCTAGTTGGCTTCTCCCCACTGTGAGCCAGTGGAAGGGGGTAGTGCTGGTAATTCATGCACACATGTGCCTGCCTGTTCCCCCAGTGACAGGCCAGGGGAGGGGCACATGATAAATTGCCTTCCATCTGGGACTTCCATACACAGCCACCATGATGTGGGTAAAAATGGAAATCGCTCCCTTTCACCGTCATTACATCAGTTTAGAGCGTGTGTGGGACTCCAGACCGACACACACACGCGCTGACACACACACACACACACATTCGTACTCATGCACGCATGTACACACGCATATACATACATACTCATGCAGGCACACACGCAAACGAACTCACACATGTACACACACACTAACAAACAGAGAAGTTGGTTTTTACTATAGCTGCTGGTGGACCAAGACAAGAGCGATCTCTGTGAGACGGTATTCAGCTAAATAACCAAAGACTTGGTGGATGAGTGTAGCTATCATTCAGAGGTCAAAGTAATTTAGAAATAACTCATTCATTCATTCATATTCAAGAACATTTCCAGAGTATAGTATTTGCATGAGTTATAGACGGACAGATGAGCCAATAGATGGATGTGTGGCAGTGCTCCCTGTTATAGGGCTGTTGCGCTCTATTCTAGCCTGTCACATCAGACACTTCCACTGTGTGACGTCTCCTCTTTCACACAGTATTAAGGAAATGGGACGTTGGGCCTCGCAACAGTTTGTGCCGGAATAGAGGAGAATATCTGGCTTTAGCTTGAAGCTATTTTCAGCTAGCTACACTGACAGCTAAGAACAGGAAGAAAAGATGTATAAGCCTGTCAACTATATATTCAGACACAACATATTTGTGTTTGATAAGTAAGGCTGGCACAAGACCTTAAGCTATAGACTATTGTATACTTAATTCAATGAAAACAATTACAATTCGGAATTAGTGGTCCACGTTTTGCATTTCTGTCTTCTGTAACCCGTTTCGACATCTATCCAACATATTAGCCCAACACATTATACATTTCTTAAATCTTGAACATGTTCCCTAATCACACAAAAAGGACAAATGTTGATATCATATTCACAGGAGGCATGACACACCCATTTGTGTACACTGAGCGACAACCATATTTTCAGTGCACATTTGGGAAACTGGGACAGCAGGTTAGATAAAATGTTATAGGCCTAATTGTAGCCCATTGACAATTCGATTCAATTTTGTGTGATTAGGAAACATCTTAAGGATTTCAGAAATGTATAATGTGTTGGGCTAATATGTTGAATAGATGTCAATTCAAGGTCTATTCCACGTTGGTTCAACATCATTTAATTGAAATGACATGATGTGGAAACAATGTTGAATCAACCAGTGTGTGTCCAGTGGGACCCTACTGTTATTCTGTTGATGTTTGGAACCAATGGCTCCAAGCAGAACCATAGAAGGCTAACTGAATGAATTCCACTATGTTTCAATTCAAAGTTCCCCAATTATGCAATGAAAAACATGAATGAATCATGTGGACTTGTAAGGTTAACCCATTAGCTATTGGTATTGGAGTAATATAGCCTATTTCTTGATCGCAAAATTATATTGCTATCTCGGGCATTGGCCCGTTTCGCAGACATTTCGTAGGCCTGGTGTGGAAATATTATGTGAAAATCAATAGGCTTAACTATAGGCCTGCCTATGTATTTCTTTTTTTAAATGTGGTAGCCATTTTTTCTCTGATAAATGCAATAAAGGCATGATTAATTACTGGACTAATATGGTGTGTCTGTAACCATGCAATTTAAGATTGTGTGGCCGTATTGAACATAGCAAAAGGCTGTATACAGAGCAGCGAACACAGTTAGGCCTATAGGCCAGCTGTTGATGAATTTCAATATGAAACAAATATTCGCACAAAACTTCAAACCCGTTTGATCTAAGTAATGAATCAGCCTACAACACAGTTTTTTATATAAATATAGATTAGGCTAGTTAGGCCTATACTTTAATTAAAAAGCTGAGTATAGTCGGATGTGTATTTAGAAGTTTGTGTGATAATCTTTAGTTTAAACTATAGGCTAGATCATGGCATTTTGAAATGGTCTCCTACAAATTTCTGAATCACACACCAATGTTACCCCACTGGGAACACACTGGTTTAATCAACGTTGTTTCCACGTCATTATTTATATATTTCTTAATTCTATTATTTTACTTTAGATTTGTGTGTATTGTTTGATATTACTGCACTGTTTGATCTAGGAACACAAGCATTTTGCTACACCCGCAATAACATCTGCTAAATATGTGTATGGACCAATGTTATTTGATTTCAATGAAATTATGTTGAACCAACGTGGAATAGACGTTAAATTGATGTCTGCGCCCAGTCGGATGTCTCTAAAATCATCAGTTATTTTTAACCAACTATATTGAAGTGGGACCAAAGTGGAAATAGTTAGTTAGATTATAGAAAGAGACGTTCTAAAATCAGGTATGCGTAATGCTCCCTATGTAATCCTATACAATATTATTCACTTATAGAGTTTTGCCGTATCTGTTTTTAGTAAGATATGCTATATTCATAATTAATGCATCTTAAATGACTCGTGAATATTGAGACACATATTATAAATTCAATTTAGATCAACAAATACCTTGATAAACGCATTTCAAAAGGAGGCGCTCTGTTTGTTGCTCGAGGGAATCCCTATTAACCTGGCAATGTCAAGAGACATCATTTTTGTGCATCATCAAACATTGAAGATAGGTTTAAAACTATATTTAGCCAATAATACTTATTTGGAAATGACCTTCTCAATCCAATCACTACAGCAATAATGTCAAAGCTCATCATCAATCAACAATTATTAACATGCTTTGATGGATGTATCCCGTTTTAGAACACGCAGACAAACTACACGGCGCTCACACACTCAATCATGACGTTCAGCAAGCTATACACTATTGTTGAAATAATGTCCAATCTTAGTTGCGTTCGATTTCAAAGGTGTGTGTTTAGTTTTAAAATAGCCCAGTGTTTCAACTTTCAAGAATTCAAATTATTTAGTTTAAAACAATGGATCATGCTAAAAATAAAATTAAACTCTAGAGATGTTCTAGAAATAAAGTGCACTTTAGTGAACATAAATAAAAAAAAACATAGCCTACTCTGTAAATAACGGTGTAGTTTTTTGTATAGGCAACCAGTTAATAAGATTAACTTCCCAAATCAGCACATCTCATAATGTCCATTTTAAATCATAATGAAACCAGAAATTGTTTAATGAAATAGCATGTTAAAAATGTAGGTATTGTTGTTATCATAAAAGGAGGCACACGGAAATATGGAACAGAATTGTTTCTTATTTTTCCAGAATACATACAAAAAAAATACCACCTGAAAAATAACGGCAATTTAAAATGTGGACAATTTGGGATTTTAAGAAACAAACATGCAAGTCAATTATTTTCTTTTCAATGAGACATTAAATAAGAACAATACAATCATAGCAATTTCAAATGAACATCAAAATGAAAACCTCTATTTTATTAGTATTCTACCATGTGTTTTCATTTTACCTATAGAGTTCAGTTTAAACATAATGCACTTTGAGTCTCTCAATATCTTCCATTTGTAGCTATTATCGTCCGCTTTCAACCGACACAAATAAATACAGTCCACGGATCCTGTCCATAGATGGAGCGTTGATATAAAAGTCTTTATATTTGCATTTGTATAACTATAAACTTTTCAAAAGTCAAGTGTGTTTCACTGGTATCCCAGCGCTGATGCTGTGGTGAGTCTCTGGCCGTACAGTGCATAGGGGGAGTAGTATGGCCCGGTAGCTGCGGGGACGGGGACAGGGGCTCCGGTAGGCAGGGGGCTCTTGGAGTACGGATGGTAACGGCTGCTTAGTCCCAACGCGTGATGCGGACTCCTCAGGGTCAGTGTCCCGGGGCTTCCAGGGCCTCCTGACTGCGGCATGTGCATGTGGCACGCCATAGCGGCAGCCGCAGCACTAGCTAACGATGAGGAACTAGGGTAACCCGATATCAACTTCTCCGCCCCGGTGAAGGCGGTGTGCGTCCGCAGGTGGATCAGCAGCTCCTCGGAAGAGGAGAAACGCTTGTCGCAGGGTCCGTTCGCCGACACCCAGTTACAGACGTGAGGAAGGGGGTCGTTGGGGAGCATGAAACCATAGGGATACAAAGGGTGTCCACTGAACGACTGCGGAGAGGAGTGCATGCCGTGCAAAAGGTGTGTCGGGTACATGTGGTGGTACCCGGATTTCATCGCGTTGTCGTGGCACTGCTGTGAGGCACTGGCAGCACCCGCTAAGTGGCTGGCACAATGGTAACTTAAGCAGTAAGGGTCTCTACACAGGCTGGCTGACATGATGGAGGGTGGGGAGGCCCCAGCCAGCGGGCTGGATCCGGTCTTACTGCAGCCCATGCTGGCCAACTGTGCGTTAACCAGGCTCCCGCCGTGGGAAAGGTAGTGTTGGGGATAACCTGCGTAGGCCCCTAAACTCCCGGGGTAGTGCATGCCAGCAGGCGGTAGGGGAAAAACTGTCTGACCCGGTTTGTAAGGAGAGACTGGGGCTACAAGTCCTGACCCCAGTCCGGAAGCTGAGGAAACGGAGGTTACAGAGGAGGATTCCGAAGACGGGGCTTTGGACCCGGGCGTTGTCTCCTGGTGCTGGTTCACCTCCACGTTAATTCCACCGCAACTCACGCTTATCCTGCTGTGGCTGTTAGTGGTTCCAGATCCGTCCGTTGTGCCATTTTTATTACAATCTGAATCTTTCTTGTCCTCCCTGTCTCCACACTTCCCCTCTGACGGCATGGGAGAGGCAGAAGTGCTGGAGTTGGGGCTGCCTGTCCGTGGCGTGAACGGCTGACAGGTGGCGCTAGGTACTCGGAAACCAGTCTTCTCTCCACTCGAAACGCCCGAGGACGAGTCCTTCTTATCGGACGGTTTCGAATAGGGTTTGAAGCTAGATTTGTCATCCACACCGATGTCGCTCATTTTTAATGGACCGGATTTTGACTCCTTGTCACTAGATCCATTTGATGTAACAGAGGATAGTTTGGAGGAGGGAGGTGGGTCCGGTTTACCGATTTGAGAGCATGTCTGCGCCAGCAGTGCCAACGGACTCTTCTTGGCATCTAGCTGTAGAGAAAACAACAAGACCGATATTTACAAATTGAGCAGTGAAAAAATATAAAAACAGTCTCAAACAATATTAGACTTTTGGTCGAAATGCATCCAGCAAACAGAATGTCCGAGCCCTTCTCCACCCCCCCACCCCCCAAAAAAGAGTAGTGCGCAATGCGCAGCTTTTACGCGAGAGAATAGCCGAGCTCTAAGAGTACGATTAACATTTCCTACATTTATAAAAATGTATTTCACCAGTACTCTCTATAATAGAATAGCCCACATTTCCACTTCGATATAATAAGTAGTTTATTCTATGCTGTTTCCTGTGCTACATTCCGGGATAACCGTTTCTATTAGTAATGGTTACAAAACAACAAAAACATTAAACTTTTACGCATTCATTCAGCTATTTTAAGTTGTTTAAAAAAAAAAATCTTACCTCAATAGGGCTAATCGGGGTAGATGGTAACGGTTGAAGATACTCTGGGTGCAAAATGTGTCCTGATCGTGCCGTAAGCATTCTCAAAACCTTGATGGGGACTCTGTTAGCTTGCCGTAGATGGTCCGATGGGGGAACGGAATGAAGAAAAGGCTTGTTGATGTTATTCCGAGAGTCGATGCTCTCCCAGACAAGATGAGTACTACTATTGCTCAGAGCAGACACCGAGGGCGATGTGATCATGTCCTAATTCTCACGAAATTAGTCGGTAATGCATTTATCAGATTCATCAAGAAAGGCGAAAAGCAATGACAACCTCTCTCGAAAATCAGGAGAGAATAAAGTGGTGGTATTGCGTGTAATAATCCGTATAGTGAGAGGAAAAGAAGAAGGTGCGGCTGGTACGCAGGAAGAAGAGACAGGGAGAGTGAGTGCGATGTTATCGCGGATCCGTGGCTGCGTCTTGCATCATAGGCATAGCGCGTTCTGTGTCTCCCGGCAAGTCCGCTCTCTATACTCCCAAAGTACGAACTGGTAAAAATGTTCACTTCAAAAGCATCTGAATTAGTCCGAGATTAAAGCCTTTGCCGCCTTCCAATCAAATGGGACCCTGAGGTGATTGGAGGGTCAAGGGGATGTGACGTTCTCCTCTATTTTTACAGCGCGAGGGAGGAGATAGGGAGGAATAGTTGGGTTGTTGTGCTTGCTCTCTCCATCCTCGAAGCAGGGCAGGGCAAGGCTTGTTTAGTTTTTTTCAATGTCTGAAAAAGGACTGTATATAGACGCAAGGTTTTTCAAAACAGTGTAGCTCAGTTGGTAGAGCATGGCGTTTGCAACGCCAGGGTTGTGGGTTCGATTCCCACGGGGGGCCAGTATGAAAATGTATGCACTCACTAACTGTAAGTCGCTCTGGATAAGAGCGTCTGCTAAATGACTAAAATGTAAAGGTATTTGGTAAAATAATAGGTTGCCGATGTGGCTACACAGACATTTTCCAATGTGAATTATATCCCACAACCAGAAGATCAACCACTTCAGCTCGAATCAGACAAGCGTTGACAGGAACAGACCAATTCAGTGATGGAGGGATGAGAATGTCACATGTTTTCAGTAGCCTATAATACACACCGCACTTCTATGTCCATCTCCACCCCTCCGTCAACTGTCAATTCTGCTCCACCGCAATCAATCAGTTATTTGTCAGGGGCTGTCAATCCGACCTTGATTTGTCAGCTGTTGTAGCTGATTTCATGCGAGCATAGTTGCATGGGGGAAACGGACAAATGGAAAGACAGAGGCATCTGTGAAAAGAGACTTAATTTGGACTAAATAAATCTTCCTCGTGTTAAATTCAATTTGTATATACGCATCGACAATATGCAGACTGCAACGCGCTAGAGTATGCTTATTTTCCTGATTTCTCCATAAATTGACATGGAATTTAGGACGGTATTTGAAAATTAATAAGGATCTTGACTTGAGCAGAAATGAAAGGGCGAGGCTAAACTAAAGACATTGTATAAGGTTATCCTTAAACACAGCGACCGAGAGCTCAGCTCAGTCGCAGATTCGCTTGGATTTATGCCACGTTCACGTGCTAGTCGGAACTCGGACATGTCCTACTTGCTAACTATTGTAATTATTTATACACGTGCCGTGTTCACCTAGTTAGCAATTCGGGGATTTCCGAGTTCCTAGTTCAAACTAGCGCATGAACGCGCCATAAATTAAGCCTTTTCAAGGTTTTCCCTCCCTGTCAAATACTTCAAACGAGGAATGTGTCCCAAAAGGCACTAAACAAGCCATGGAGTTTTAGTGCTCTGATGTTAGTTAATTTGTCAGAAATAGTTCAAAGTGAATGTCTACTATTATATTTCAGTAATGTTCATGTTCCTGTGTAAGGACATTAATTGGTAATGGACTCACCTACGTTTAGCCTATATAAGGGAAACTTTATGGCTAAAATTACATTAAAATGTAATAATGTGAATTTGAAATTGTGACCAGAAAGTGTTTTAAATGGCAATCTAGCAGTGTTGCTTAGTAGGCTATATGCGAGCATTTCAATTGTTTTTGAATAACCAATATGAACAACGCAGTTATTAGTGGAGGGCAAAGTTCCCCATAACAAAGTCTCTCCGGGCAGGGCCAGCGCGTATCCAACACACGTCAACATGTAAGTTGCACATTACTGAGTGAAACATGATGTCCTGGGTTCTCAGCAAAGGCGAACAATAACCACTTTCCCTCACAGATCCAAACCACTTTCCCTCACAGATCCAAACCACTTTCCCTCACAGATCCAAACCACTTTCCCTCACAGATCCAAACCACTTTCCCTCACAGATCCAAACCACTTTCCCTCACAGATCCAAACCACTTTCCCTCACAGATCCAAACCACTTTCCCTCACAGATCCAAACCACTTTCCCTCACAGATCCAAACACTTTCCCTCACAGATCCAAAACCACTTTCCCTCCTCTGGCACATTTATCTCCCCAACAAGAATGACAAATAAAAGGGAACAAACAAGTAGTCCAGACATTTTACATTGATGTCAACTCGATTTTATTTACATACAATGAAAATTATTTATTTTATTTAAGAGGGAGAAAAGAGGGGTGACTGAACATAAATAAAAGAGAAATGGTGTGTCAGAGCGCTGAGAAAAGGAGTTTAAAATGCCATGAACTATTCACCGCTGAGATGGCTAATCAGTATTGAGGCTCAGGGGGAATCGGGCAGCCTTTAAATGCGGGTCTCTTTTCATCTCAATCGGGATAGAGGCGCTCAATTAAAAGCCTATCAGTTTGTAAGTAAATCAACGCCTATCAAAGTTGTCACTTCAAACAAAACGATTATTATTGCAACCCGCCTCCGCCATTAATCTCTCTCTGTGGTAATCCGTTTGACAGGTCATCTTGGAGAGCAAGAAAACCTGGAGTGGACAATCACAGGGGGGAAGAAAAACTGCTGGAAAAGTAAATATATTTATTTTAGGCCTTCAAAGAATTTTGGTAAAATGACAGGCTATAGGAAAACTATGGATATGTATTTGAAGTTATATGATAGCCTAATTGGTAACATTGTTTTTTATAAAAAAAATGAACCAGAGTGTAAAATCCAGGCTCTGCCGTAGCCGGCCACGACCGGGAGACCCATGGGGCGGCGCGCAATTGGCCCAGCGTCGTCCAGGGTAGGGGAGGGAATGGCCGGCAGGGATGTAGCTCAGTTGATAGAGCATTGCGTTTGCAACGCCAGGGTTGTGGGTTCGATTCCCACAGGGGGTAGGGAAAAAAATAATGTATGCATTCACTAACTGTAAATCGCTCTGGATAAGAGCGTCTGCTAAATGACTTAAATGTAAATGTAAAATATGTAATTGATAGTTTAACCATATGGGAATTATAGACAGAATATGACGTGAATTATTTTATTTTGTAGGCTACTCAAGTGTCACTGCATGTCAACATTGGCCTAAAGGCCTATTCACATGAAACTCAACTTCTTGCAGCCTATTGAAGCCTTACCATATAATGAATGGCCTTACCGCAGAAGCAAAAACTGCTATAGTCATAAACTGCTATCAATGTTGTATATTTTGAGGCCTAGAATATAAAGGCAATATCTAACATGAATTTACATTGTAGCCTAATGTCTATTTTTTATCTGATTTATTATTTACATTTTAAGCCATACATATATTTTTCGGTTAATAGTTCACTAAAGTTTATTGCAACGTACTGGCCGCCTAATCGTTTTATTTCCAAGCCATACTGAATGCAATTTGTGAATACCTTCCTCATTACCCAGTGTGCACAAAACTGCATTAAATCCATTACTGACAAATTACAACATAGGAACATAAATAAATTAAATTACGTTGTGATATTTATTTAGGTAGACATACCAAAGTGGAAACATAACTAAGCAAGAAAGTGTCGTACACATATACTTTTCCCGTGGCCCTTAAATGCTGTGGACTTTGAAGTACAACAAGAATGAGAAAACGGCCCTCTCTTTCTATTCCTGTCTGGCAGAACAGGAAGAGAACGTTTCACAATATGCAAAGATATATGATTGATAAACAGCAGCCTAACTGTTTTCTGCAAGGGCTGACAGCCCGTGACACAATACGTGAGTTATTATGGCAAAGAAGGGCAACCATAAATTCCCAGTGTCAAGCGAAACCCCTCTTTATTGTCCGTATGACGAATGAGCTTCTACACCAGACTACAAATACTCGATATTACCGTTAAATGGAAACACATTTTTCCCGGCCATAATTCATGATATTTAAATAGAACGTTTTAAAAGTCCCCATATACTTCATAACCGCGACCTGTTTATGAATCACTCCCTATATGTAAATATAATTATTTAAAGCAGCACGAGAGTAGCTTGGGCTGTATGTTGTGGACTTTCAGCTCTGCACGAGGCTATATGCCTCCTTAGCAGAGGTGCGGCAGCGAAGGCAACATTTAAAATATTACATTACATTGGGTTTAGAATTAAGGTTTCCATTCCCATATATAGGGAGTCTTGGAATTATGCAAATGTAATAGCCTACTTTTAAAACCGAAAAACGTTAAATACCTTTTCAATGACGCACAGCCAGTGAGTTTGTCGCCGACTATATTGAAGACTGTTTTTTTGTTTTGCAATATGACTTACATACTTTTCTGTAGTAATCAAGCGAATAAGCTCTCGCATCCATTATTTTATTTTTTGCATCCAATGAGTTTGCTGAAAGAGTAGCCTATGGACAACTCCCAAAGCGATATTTTATCATAGCTTCTCAGTCAATGGAACTAGAAAAATTGGCTATATTATCTACCAGGAAAAAGCATGCACGGTGGAGAACAAACGTAGGGTACACATTTTTATCAGAGGTAAAAGATTAAAAAGGGCGCATAGAACCACATTACCTGACATAAAAGACTAACAACAACATGTTCCGAAGTGAAATGACAGATCTGTGAAAACACTGCGCAAACGTAATACTTTGTTTACTAATGTTGCATTGTAAAGATCACCCAATACATTTATCAGTTACATTGTTACAATATGAAATAGTGCGACATAGTAGGCTACAAATGTAACGACTGGAGCACGCGTGTTTTCCAGCAGTGGAGCCTCGAGAGCTGGGCAGAGTAGATAGAGGATTTTCCGCGTCTGGGAGGATCTAACATGACGTCCCTAACATACCTTCTGAATAACCAACATGGATAGGTCGGATCCACCTGTGCAGGGGTTGTGTTATTACAAGGCACTATTACAACTTTTTATGAGTTCAACTAGTATTTAGGAGCCATTTTGTCCTGTTTATGTGCTCATGTGTTGTGTGTTTATCTTGTCTATCTAGGGGTATTTTAACTTGTTTTGTACACTAGAGGCACTCTCACCGGAGGTCTAGGTCACTAGTCACATGGGTAGGGGTACACAGGTGATGAGCAGTAAGAGCACAGGTGAGAGGAAAGAGCATGCGGTTCTTACCGTCAAACTATTAAAGTATTGCATCCAAAGTTTCTCTTTGTTGTTTATCTTCAATATCACCCAAAAACAAGAT